AGCTCACTTTCTCCTTCCCTGTGTGTAAAAGTTGAAAGCAACTAAATATCTCATTTTCCCATTTATATACTCCTTAAAGCCTCATTTTCTGCCCTCTGCTCATGCTTACTAAGTGCTTCCTTATAATCTTGCTTATCTCTGCCTTGATGACTGCAGACTTTTAGAGCTGCTTTACTTTTTGTGACCATGTGTGATGGAGTAGCTGAGATTTTCCTCCTCACTTTTTGTGCTCTCCTGTACTTGGTCTGCTGTGAAAAGGGCCTTGAAAAAAGAGCCTGCCTCAATCTGCTCCTAAGGCCCTCCACAAAAGGCTGAAACAAAATAAAAGACACACAGAGAAAAGATAAATAGATGGAGTAATTGGTCTCCAACAGGAGCACTGACACTAATGATACAAAACTAAAAGAACTTCCTGCACCTGCCAGAACTACTTTGTTATCCCAGGAAAGATCTACAAAGCAGGTCAGGACACTTGAGGCTAATCAAGCACTGTTAGCTAATGGATTGTTTGTACAACTTTGTAACTCTGCACTGTCTTATTATTGCCTATTCATGTTCATATAATCTTTGTCTAGAGACAAACACTTGAGAAAGGAACCTATAAATAAAAGCCTGTGACCCAAAGTGGTACAAGATGGAAGAAAACTGGGGCTGACACAAGCCTAACAGTCACTGCAGGGATGCCTTCCCAGGTGGAGAGGTGTCTCAGTCCCTGCACAGTATAATTGGGACACATGGCCTTTCTGACCCAAATTCAGGTGCAAGAGTCTTCTCCATCAGCACCAGAGCCGTGCCACTTTGCTCAGTCCCATAGCAGAGGTGCATGGTGCACAGCCAAAGCAAATGCCCATCAGATGCATGGGCAGAGTGATTTCTGAGTAGTACAGGATGTTGCTGTTCATGTTTGTAGCATCTGATGAGCCAACAAAACAAATAGTCACACAAAACTTTGCATTCAGGCACACTGTAGTGTTTGGAATGTTAATAATTTCTCCCTCCTTTTTCTTTTTTATGGTTGATTTTATTGCTTCATGACTTGGAAGTACTTCATTACTCCCTTTTAATGTTCTCATATGCAGGTTTTATCTGGAGCATTATAAATCCCTAAGTGGTATAAGCATATTACCACTTTATAAGAGACAAAATATGCTCAATGTGGAAGGATTGATGGTTTAAAAAATTCTATAATAAAAAGACTTATCTTGGAGCAATAAAATTTATCCAGAAGCAGGATAGAAGCTGCTCATCTCTGCTGGCAAGCTGCACAGCTGAGATGTATTGGCAGGAAGGTAGTGAAGGTGTTTGTCTTATATGAACCTGCAAGCTCAGAGTCATGGTAGAACGAAAGGTCAGTAAGATGAGCAGCTCCTCATGGAGGCAAAAAGCTTGTATGAGAAAAAAAAAGGATAAAAATACAGGAAAGGAAGAGAAAGGCACGTGGATGTTTGAAAATACAGAGAAAGATTTTTGATGCATGCAGGAAAGGAAAAGAGCTGAGTGCTATGTATACTATGTAGAGGCTTAAATCTCATCCAGCTTCAAAACACTATACTACTTCCCACTCTTACTGCAGCCAGCCAGGTGCAGGTGGCTGAGTCCTGTCCAGGAGCCAGTCCTCCAAAATGAAAAGTCAGCTGTGGATGCTGGACAGTATTTAAGCCTTTCACTTTCATTAGCACTGAAGCCCTGGCTCAAAGTGGTGTTTGTGAGCCATTACATTAAGCCAGAGGGCAATGCAGGAGAAACCCCTGATCTTTTCCACATCTGTGCTACTTGTCAGAGCATACCAGTGTGATTGCACCCAGCTACTGAGCATGAATGCCAAGCTAACTTAAAAATCACCATGCTGCAGGGACAGGTACAACCAAAGGCCATACAGCCAGGCATGCAATGGTAAGGGGATTTGGTGTCAGCAGCTATATGGCCAAGCCTAAAGGCAGGAGAAAAACTCCACCAAATACGATTAGTTGAAGACCCAGGCTGCAGTGTGCTGCTGGAGAACTTCTTTCTGGATGTATTGTCACGCTGCAGCAAAGTAATTGATGTCAACTTTAGCATCTACTCTTCAGAGACCTCTCTGATCCACAAACCCTGGGATTCAGCAGCAGCATGGGTTTTTGCAGGAAGAATAGGGAGAGTTTTCTCTAGAGTCTGCTTGGTGCCAATAGTTCACCAGGTTTTCCTCTGCCATGAGCTACGTGCATTGTTCCCAATCTCTTTTCTACTTCTGATTCCCCCTCCCTGTCTGTGCTTTTCTGCATGTTATCTGGGGATGTATTTTTGACTGCCAATATCTCTTTTAGAAGAACTTTCACCCACATGAAAATAAGGTAATGCTGCAGCTTGTGGCAGTATTACTGTCTTACATTTCTTTAGACTTGTAGTTTAACAAAAGAAATGCACATAGAAAAGAAAGACCTGATCTTTCTCTGGAAAAACCTGAAATTACAATTAAATTAGGACACTTGCATCTTTGTCCTGTATCTCATTCTCAGGAAAATAATGGAAATTAATTCTCCTAATAAAAGGATATATTCCATGGAAAAATAACTGCAGTATCAATGGGATCGGAGTGAAAAACTTCCAAATATACTGTATACGTTTGTGACGCTCTTTGTGTGGTTGGTTTAGGGCACTTTTAAATTTTAAATATGTCTAAAGAAAAATGTAAATGTAAAGTTTTCTGTGATACTGGAATAGTCTTCCTCATGTAGTTTGGAGGTATGATTTATCATCTTTCTTTAGTGGAAGAAGCAAAAGGTTGCATATAACCAGCAGCAAGTTGTTGATGGAACCTAATTTTGGATGTGATCAATCTGCAAATTCTGCAGTTCTTAGGAACAGCAATCTGGCAGCAGTATCCTTTATTTGGATGTCTGAAAAAGAACGTGCTGCAGAAATAGTTTAGGAAGCTCAGTCACAGCTGCACAAGAGTTTATAGACATTTTCAGAATGTGAAGAAGCAACTTAACTTGAGCCCACCGAGTAATGTAGCAGTCAGTTTATGTTTGGAACCAGTTTCTAAAACAGATCTCTATTTTCATGACCAAATGAAAGCACAGCCTTACTGAGATCCAGCAGAAAGCATGTGTTGATGACAGGCTCAAGTTTAGTGCTGAATGTTGGCTGACTCCACCGTAAGCTTCAGAGGGATGATTGTTTTAAATGATGCAACAACCTGTGGTGATGCGTAAAGAAAATGGTTGTAGTTAATTTTGTAATACCTTGGGCATAATTGCTCAATATTTTGAACATCACAATGTTCCAGTGACTGCAAAATTAGTAAAGAACTCATTTTACAGCTGGGGCTTAGCTGCTCACCCTTTGAAGCCTGTTACAGCTGGCATGGTCAAAGAAACATGTTGTCCAGGCAAGCTCATTGTCATTCTGTGCACATGGATTGGTATGCTGCCTTTCACGAGAATAAGGTGACTGGGATTTGCTCTTTATCCTAAGGATGTGATTTCAAGTCTTTAGAAGCTGGCAGTTACATTAGCCCTAAAACCAGGAGGTAGGTGAACAGCTGCTGCAGGAAACTCCTCATGCCTTCACATTTCACATTGCAGGAGATCAGCTCTGGAGTCAGGAAGCAAAGACAGGTATCGAGCACTCAGCTTCGATTCTGAATGCACAAAGCCATCATAAAAGAAAACAGTTTGCACAGCCTTTGCTCCTGTGTGCAAACCCACTGTTTTCAGCAATTGCCTACGGAAGTGGTAGCTCTCTTCCCCTTGGTAGTATATTATGGATCAAAGTGGATTAATATTTCAGAGATTCTAAACTTCTTCCATGACCTGGAGGTTCACATATATTGACTTCCAGGGGAGCTAGAAGAGCAGAGTCATTAATGCATTCTTGGACATTTCAATTCAAAAAACTGAGCAATCTAATCAATAATATCCAATGATTTTGAGTGACTGCACTTTACAATGTGCTTACAATATCCACAGTTTAAGGCCTTAGGGTCTGCTTTTCCATGTGCTTTTTAGTTTGCTTATTTATATCTGGTGAGGGTGTTTCATTTGGTTTCTTTAAAAACAAAGATAGTTTGCTGACAGAAGCAATAAGTGTCACAATAAATAAAGCGAAAAACAGTAGTGTAGAATTATCATTCAGCCTTCTTGCCCAAAAGAGATTGTCTGAGTGTTTTCAACCAGAGTATACTGAAAGCAATTCAGGTGAGGTTGGAGCAATTGCATCACTGTGAACAGGAGGAAGTCAGAATCAGCAATTTACTGTAAGACAGCATTTCTTTGTAAGACTGTCCATTAGCCACAAAGGAAATTTCCATTTTGCTTTTTTCTTTGGAAAAATAAAGCCTTGTTTTTAATCACAATTTCAGTATAAAAAATGATTCAGTGACAAATTTGAGATTTTTGGTGTGAAAGACAATTTCCAGTACTGACAATAAGGTTTCACAAGACAGGAGAAAGTGGAATTTTTTCCAAGCCTTAGGTCTTACTACTGTCATGTGTAGCCTTACTGCTTTCCTCAAAACAGACCTTTATTTTTTCCTTAAAAGCTGGTTAATATCTCTGGCATCTTTTCCATATGATGAGACTTCCTAATATTGGGTAAAGGTTCAGAAGAAAAGAAATAATTTCTGGCAAATTCTAATTCATCAATCAGAAAACTGGCATTTAATAAACTTTGTGGTAGCTGCCTCATTAATATTGCCCTTTGTGAGCTGTGTGGATATTTTAAAGGAATGGAAGATATTTCCTCCTGCAGATCAGTAAATTGGTAAACCATTACTATGTATTAATTTAAATATCTATTACTATGGCTGAATCTGATCCCTACAATACAACAGAAAAGGTGTTCACATTTTTAATTTTCCAAGAAAATTAATCTTTTAGAGTTCTCCTTTTGCTTTTCTTTTTTTTTTTTTTTTCTTTAAGGATGTTCTTGCAGCTCCATTTTAAACCCTGACAATTTATATTTTAGTTATTCCATATTGATCTCTTGTATCTAACAGTACTAATTCTTATTCCTGTCAGGTATAAATTTGTCTATTCATGGGGCTGAAAAGCGTGTGCAAGTCTGTCAGAGGAGAACTGCAGCGAGCTACCCAGTGTCACAGCATCCCCCTGTGGATGGGCATCCCTCGATCCCACAAGCCAGAGGGTCAATAAAAATGGAAGCCTCCTCTTCTGGATCTACGATTTCATCAGTCACTGGTGGAAAAGCAAAAACCCATCAGCCAGGTAACAGATTGGCCTTGATACCTTTTCCAGTCCCATTTCCCATGTGATGTGCCATGACATGGCAAAGCTGGTGTTAATGGCACAAGGTCACCCTTCTGTGGAGAGCAACTTATTGATTGTCAGAATTACTGACTGATGTTTTGGTCACATTTGATGTTTTTGTCAATTATAGATTATAGGGAGGGAATAACAGCAGTTGGGACAGCTGAAAGTGGGAAACAAAAATGTAAGTTTAATCATAAAAACCCCTACAATGTGTAGTGGTATCCAAAATATTAATGCAGAGAGAGTGGGATATTGCTTTTTAATACTGCTTCCCTTATATATATTTAATTTTGATAAGCCTTGATCTAATTGCTCTAGAGGCTACAGATATCCCCCATGAAATTCAATAATTGACACTAAAATTGGTTTTGACCAAATACACAATCCAGGGTGTAGATCAAACTTGCTGTAACACTAACAAAGCCCGTGGATCTGCACGACATCTTACAACATAGATTAACTGGTTAACAAAATGAAACTTTTCAAAAGAAAGTCAAAATCTCCAGGGAACCATCAAATTCTAATTCACATCATGAGTTCATTCCTTGTTATGATAATTGAAAGTGCTATTTTAGAAATACCTTTTCTCATAGCAGGGAAGTACATTTGTACTGGCCATGCCCAGTGACTCTTCACAGTGAAAATTAGACACCAAATTTCTTTCCTGAGCAGAGCCAATTAAAGCTGCCCATGAAGTCAGTTTTGTAGCATATTTATTGAAGGGTCTCAATAATCTTCCAGCGTTGCTGGCCAGAAAAGAGCATGATATATAATGTATGCAGCTACTTGGGAGCTGGGAGGCAGAGTCTATTTGTGTGAGACAGACAGTTCTGCCTGCAAACCCTTAAGTTGCAGATCTAGTAAATGGCTTGATTTTTATAGAAGTTTAAATTTTAGATTATCTATTGTAAGTTGCTATACAGGTCTATTGCCATGAGTTTCATGCGCTCATAGTATTTAGTCACCATAATCTTTGTCAACACAGATTAAAGAATTTACAGTGACTCATAACCATATGCTTTGTTTATTTTAGTTCTTCTGTTCACTTGTTTGTCCTGTTTTTTCAGCTTCTGTCTTCTTCATACAAGTAGAGAAGTTGCTACTACTGAAATGTTGCTGTTGCTAAAGATATATAATGATGTATACAGCATGTTAAGAGATTGACAAAAAAGTTCTGCACCACAGTTTTTGAAAAGAAGTATCTTGAACATGCACTCATTTTGAAATGCTGCATATTCTACAGCTATCTGTTGATAAGCAGGGCCTGTGCTTTAATATTAAATGGTGTTCATGCACCACATGCTTGTGCCCAGGACTCTGATTCAGAAAAAGATCCCTTTTTAGGTTGACCCCAGAGGTTTCCTAAATGGAGCTCATTAGTGACCATTTGGATAAGGATTATCTTTCAGTATATGAGTTAAGTTTTATCTGTCTCCTCTTTGGACAGTAGGAGCATCTGAGAACCTACTGAGAACCCTTTTTGTATGACAGGAGTCTTCTCTTGACTTACAGTCCCATTTTTTCATCTGAAATGAAGAATCATTTCTATGACCTGTGTCTGCCTTCTCAATTCTATTTGAGACCACTGTATTTGTGTTTGTATCCAGGTTAAACTGCAACCTTTTGAGCTTTGTGCAAGTAGATCTAAGAAAGATTATGGTTGGCAGCAGCAGCAATAAATAGCACTCCTAAGAGTAAATTCTGATTTAAACAAAAAATCACATGTTCTTCCTTCAAAGTCAGTCACAAATTAACAGCTGTAAATTCATTACCAAATTAAGACATCAGTTGTCCACTGGCAGTACCTTATCTCAGATATCATAAGCAGCCTGATATTTTAGAAAGACAATGTTCTTATGTATATTAACTACTCAGATACCAGATCTTACAGCAGTCTTTTCTAAGCTGTCATCCTGCAACTGCATACAGTGAGTTTGTAGGGTTTTGTTCCATCTAATTTTAAATAGTTCATATAATTTGGGCTTTTCCTTCTGTTGGACTGCTGTTATAATCAAGTAGCTCTCACTGTTGGACCAGTATATGCTATACTCTGAAATTTTCTTTGTCCAGTTAGCAAATACTCCAAACATGAAGGCAGTCTAGCATAACAGAAGGTATTTCTAGAACTTAAAATGGCATTTTAATTATCAGTAAAAGAGAGTAGGACCATGAAAAGAAAAGATCCTTGATAAAGTACAGGTTGAGAGTATTTTTCTTCTTTGATAGCACACTACTTCTGTTTTCTTCACAGTATCTTTTTTCCCTTTGCATCGTTTCTTCTTTCAAGAATGACAACTTTTATTACCTATCATGAATTCTATTTATTTGACAGTAGTTGCCTTTGAATGAAGTTCATAGGTAGCTGTATGCTAAGGACAAGGAATAACAGATACTGTTCATTGTTCCACCATTCCTTTCCAGTTACTTCCCTGCCAGTTTTATTTTAACTGGTAAGGAGTCTGAGGCTCATGACTTCTATTATTAATCTGAGTGTTAGAGTGGCTAGGGAGCGGTGAGTAGTCTGTACTGTACCTTATTTAAAATAAATAAACTTTAAAACTTTTTTGTGCAAGCTTGCAAAGAGGTACTGCTCAGCCATGAGCAGAACTGCAACATCTGTGCTTGGATTTTAAGCAGATATAAAGGTATTAAGAAACTGAAACAAAACACAGAGGAAAATGGAGAAACAAGTGGAAGAAAAAGGCTATTAATGGGGAAGGGAAGACTCCTGACACCTTTGCAGGTGCGCCCATACGAGGGAACTTTCTCTTAAAAGAAGGCAAGCAAAGATGAGTATCAGCAGTCAGATGATAAATTTAGATGTAATGGGATTAAGGCAAATATACACTTCTTTTCAAAGTCAGGAACAGCATGGCTTTAGTTCTGAGAAACATCTAGTTACCATCTTCCATCCATATGAGCAGCTGTGGCGTGTTGTGGCTAGTGGGGCACAAGGCTGCTGAAGCTGAGAGTCCAAAGCCATTGCTGGCTGCAGGGAACTGCACAAGGCTCCTGAAGGCAGTGTAGAGTAGTCGGGTCTGTGCTGCACACGGAAGGATCATTTTGAACAGAATGAAGCATGAAACAAGCCTAGAGGGGGTTAAGCTGTCATCCTGGGCCATTCCCTCAATGTCATGGTTAGGCAAATCTGGGGACAGAAAAACGCCTCGCCTCCTTTCTGATGGCACTGAGCCTTTGCTGTGCAACAAGGAGTGCTTTGGTTTCTGGGCTTCTGCCTGCTCCTTCCATTGTTAATCTATTCCAAGTCAGGGCAATGTTACCTTGCCTCATTCTCTTGGTGACAAATTCCTTTATTTTCAAATTCTGCAGAACTTGTCAAACCTCATATTTCTAGGAGTCCCTAAATTTGCTGGCTGTGGAAAAAAATGTCTTATTTAATATGTCTAAGCAGCAGTAAAGTAAATTCTTTCATTGTGACAAACTCTGGAATCTTCTTAGTTATTCTCTACTTGCAACATTTGCTAACACTTGTTACCCATTTTGTAATAACAGGAATTCAGATGTCATCTGGCAAGGTTTTTTCTTTCTGTGCTTCTGGTAAAACCTTAATGCATTTTGAGGTTTAGATATATTAGTGTATATACAGTAATGTAGATTGTAATTTATATCACTTACTCAAATCAGTACTGCAGGCAATCTACTGGAGCAGAAGAAAGGGTTGTCTTTGAAATAATTTATTTCCAAAAATTTAGTTAACATGTAAAGATTCTTCACTCCAGGAAACACATAAAAATATTCTAGAAAATGCTGCTTTCAAGAATTTACTTTTCAAAAATGTCTCTTTCAAAGCCAAAGAGCTGTACATTTTGGAAAGGACATTCCTCGCTACCTGAAACGATGAAGACATATCCATGATACTTGAAAGAATTGTATGTGCTGAAAGGACTGGTTCCTGGCATTGTGGTAAAAGTCTGCTGGGCTCATTGGAATTCACTGAGGAACTTTTCTTGCACTCTCTTGCTTTTTGTGATAAGAAATATTTGATAAATTACAAGCTTAAAAGAAGGCACATTTGCTTTGGAAAGGTTTCCCTTTATGTTTGGGTCCTCTTTTTTTACTGCTTATCAGTCTGCAGCATTTTTATTGATGACTCTACTTGCTCAGCTTGTAAATAAGAAAGAAGAACTAGGGGGCTTGGCCAACAGAAAAACTGACTTGGGAGGCAAGTAAAAAGGCCTTGGTTCTTGAAAATAGCAACAAAGGGAAAAAGGAAATGTGTTTAATAAGCTTAGTCACAAATTAATTAGCATTGAATTATCAAAAGATCTTGGACTGAAGCCTTCAACAATGATAATTTACTGTGCAAAATATATCCTTTTCTCATCGCAAAATATGCATATGCTTGTTAGCGTTCACATTTGATTGTAAATGGTCTTTAGAAGATCTGTGTTAGTTAGATGTGACTTGCTGGTTAAATCACACTTTCTTTTCTTTGCTGACTAGCAGGACATGTGGCATGCATCTCTCCTAGATTAAAAGACTAAAACCCTGCAAATAATTTTGCCAGGAAGCTCTGTCATGCAAGTACTTCTTGGCAGCAAATGCATGCATGGCATGGGGATGGCTGATGTAAATTCATCTGGAAATTTGAATTCACACTGACAGTAATGCTGTTATCTTACTTGTCTAACATTATTAAGGGAACAATCCTTTTCAATATGCGTTCTGCTGGGTGTACACAGAACTTTCTGTCATGTGGAATGAAGCATAGAAAATGCAAGCAGATTTCAAAAAAGTTTAATATTCCCCTCATTAAGCTAATTTTCATATTAAAACCCCCACATGTTTACAAGAATCATTCCTATGCAGAAGGACTTTAATTTGGACATTAATGTCAAAGAGACCAGCCTGCATATTTAACTTTTCCCTTTCTCTACAGCCTGTGTTCAAAGCAATGTAAGTTCAATGACCAGAGCAAAATTTCTCCCATGTTG